TGTCCTCTTCCTCCTCCCCTGTGTTGAAGAGATTCTGAGTTCTCCCAGATCTTTGGTTAGATGGGTGGTTTCCAAAATGACTGGATTCTAGATAGAGAGTTGCTGCACAGAGTTTTTTGGGCACTCGATCTGCAACTTTTCCAACATAGAAAACTACTTCAGTCAGTTTTGTTGCCCAAGCTTGGTTCATGAAACAGATAAGGCTTTGAGGAGCCCAGTAGCCGGCACAGTGTGTGGCTGCAGGGCACCAGGCGCCAAGGAGGGCTTTTGCTTATTAAAATAGTTTTTTTTTTTTAAGATCTTTTTTTCTTATTTGAAAGGCTGAGTCTCAAAGAGAGAAGGCAAAACAGAGAAAGAAATATCTTCCATCTGCTGGTTCCCTCTCCAAGCAGCTGCAATGGCTGGGCTGGGCCAGGCTGAAGCCAGGAGACAGGAGCTTCCTTCAGGTCTCCCAAGGTACAGGGGCCCAAGGACTTGGGCCATTCTCCGCTACTTTCCCAGGTCATAAGCAGGGAGCTGGATCAGAAGTGGTGCAGCTGGGACTCAAATCAGCACCCATATGGGATGCCAGCATTGTAGGCAGAGGCTTAACCTACTATGCCACAGGGCTGGCCCCATTAAAATAATAAGTGGGGACTCAGAACATGCCTGGGAGTTTTGGTGTCAGTGTTATAGGAGTAGTGGCAGACAAAGGTCTGTGTCTTATCCCCAACAGATGTGGCAGATTCTTCTTCTTCTTTTTTCAATATTTATTTGAAAGAATTACACACAGAGAGAAGGAGAGGCAGAGACAGAGAAGTCTTCCATCCTCTGGTTCACTCGCCAGTTGGCCGCAACAGCTGGAGCTGCATCTATGTGAAGCCAGGAGTCTCTTTTGGGTCTCCCACGTGGGTGCAGGGGTTCAAGGACCTGGGCCTGCTTCTACTGCTTTTCCCAGGCCACAGCAGAGAGCTAGATTGGAAGTGGAATAGCTGGGACTAGAACTGGTGTCCATATGGGATGCTGGCACTGCAGGCAGCGGTTTTACCTGGCCCCAGACTCTTCCTGCTACACTGTTACAATGCTCTCCTCTGCTGGCTCATGGTCAGTCTCTCTTCTCTGCTGGGTTCATTCAGTGCCTCTGCCTTTGGAGTTACAGCTTCTCTTCTCTGCTGGGTTTTTTGTCTTGTGACCACAAAGAATGAGGTATGTGGACAAAGAAGGAGTGAGCAAAGCAAAGGAGCTTCATCAGAAGCAGACATGGGGCCGACGCTGATTAAGCTGTGGCCTGCAGCACCAGCATCCCATTGGGTTCAGGTTTGAGGCCCAGCTGCTCCACATCTGATCCAACTCCCTGCTGATGGCCTGGGAAGTCAGTAGAAGATGGCCAAGGGCTTGGGCCCCTGCACCTGTGTGGGAAACCTGGTGGGAGCTCCTGGCTCCAGACTTGCCTAGCTCTGGCCGTTGTGGCCATCTGGGGAGTAGACGAGCAAATGGAAAGACCTCTCTGTCTGTCTCTCACTGTGTGTAACTGTGCCTCTCAGGTAAATAAATAAATCTTAAAAAAATAAAATAACATAAAGCAGACAAAGCTCTCTGGAAGCTGGGGAGGAGATCTTCAGCCCCCAGCTACCTCTTAAAGCTGCCTGGCTCAGACCTTTATGCAGTCTAAAGCTTGAAGTTCTCCCTGATTGGTTGATGTGTATGCTAATGAGGCATGCTACATGAACCAATCAGTGACCTGACATGGAGTAGCCTGTCTTGCACAGAAGTGTGCAGAGTTCTCAATCAGGTCTATTAGGCAGACTTAACAATATCCAAAGATTACACTGTATATGGTTCTCCCGTCTCCTGTCTCCCCCTCCCCTAGGGCTCCTGGAAAATTACCTCAAGTTGTTTTTTCCCGTCCTTTTCAGGGGCCCCTGGAGTCCCCATCAACCTTAATAGTATTTTTTTTTTCTTCTAATCACCTTCCCACAACCCACCTGGCTTGGATGGATGAGGGAGTCATTGAAGTCAAGTGGCTATGGGCACCCTGGGTTCTACTGTGCAACCACATGGCCTACCCAGTGCAGGCAGAGTGTGATAGGGTCTCACCACGCTCCATCTTTGTTTTTTTTTTTAAACCTCATGGCCTTTTACATTTGCAATTCTCTAGGACTAGAATGTTCTCCTAGATCTTCACATGGTTTCTTTGATTTCCATGTTCAAGTCTCAAGTCACAAGTCACGTGGTAGTATGGGGGGGGCGTTCCGTAATACACAATTTAAATTGTCAGCATTCTCTCTCCTCTGCCTGTCCCTGCATTACTCTCTCAACAGCACTTGCCATCACCTGGAGTCATTTATTTGTGTTGTTCTCCTACCAGCCTTAGCTCAGAAAAGCGGGGCCTTGTGTGTTGTTGTCTCCTACTCTTGGTGTTCAGAACCATGAGGGGTACCCAGTGCATGTTTTATAATTGCTTCTTGTGAATGAGTGAATTTTACTGTGTTAATAAACAAGTTAATGACACATCACAGGAACACCATGTTATTGAGGCTCACTCCAGGCATTCCAAAGGAAAAACAATTTGTGGGGCGGCTTCTACCTGTTAATGTGTGTGCATTCTGAATTTCGGCAGCATTTCTCTAACTCCATGAAGGTAAGGTGTGGGGGGGGTGGCTCTCCGGACGGTAGCTCCACCTCTCATGGGTAACTGTTTTCGGGGTTTCTCGGTGTCATTTCCGGTCATTAGATGCCAGTTGGGACCACCCTAACAGGACATTTTAATAAAGTTCTATCTCCAAAAACCAAATGATTCAGGGAGTGGCAGGCTTTCTTGGCCATGGGAAGACCTGTCCAACTTTTCACAACCAAAAAAAATTTTTTTTTCAAATGGCTTTCTTAACCTAAGGAATCATCCCCCAGTCAACAAACTTCCTCTTCTATATACCCGGAGTAAGAGCTAATAGCAGCTCTAGCCCGCAAGTGCTGGGGTCTGCCCCATCAAGCCCCCTTTACCATTTCCGTTCACTTCAACAAGGTTGCTTCTCACCCAGTCCGGCCAGCAATGGGGGCTGCAGCCAGGTCATCAAGTTGCCTACAGGGTAATCAACTGTGGATTTTGAAAAACATAACGCTCTCCCATTCTTCCCACTTTGCTTTCAGTTAAATAAAACAGCAAAAACAACACGGCTGAAATTCCAGCCTCAAGTCTTTTCCCTGGTTGTAACTTCTCCCTTTTTTTTTCCTTGTTGGCCAACAGTGCAAGATTTCATGGGTTTTAGTAGCATCCTTAATGCTATCCCTCCTTGAAGTTCCAGCTTAGGTACTGACAGTCCCGGAGTCCAAGGTGTTTTTCACCTTGGAGCTGCCAACCGGCGTTGCCAGTGGGGGAGAGGGCGCTGCCTGCAAAGCCGGAGTTCATTCCTGTGCACATGGTTGCCCTTTGAAAAGGCAATTTCAAGGGACACAGCCTGAGGTCAAAGTCACGGGCTAACCGGTGTTCAAGAACCCTGCACTTCTTGGCGCTTCTGCCAACTTTCCCCTTCCAGAACGGTGAGGCGGGAACTAGACACACAGTGAGGGTGCTCTACGGGGTGGCAGGGCCTGGGCACCCACAGGCTCTCGGCAGCCGAAGCCCGCGGGGCGCGCGCTGGCCCACCGGTGTCGCAGGCTGCAGGAAGGCGCGTCCCGGGCACGCCGCCTCGCGCGGCCCTGCGCGGGCGCCTCCCGCTCGTTCCACAGAGCCCCTCGGCGCCCGGCGCATAGACGATTCCCTGGCCGGCGTACGCTGAGGAAAAGGCAGACGCCTCCCCGGCCTCACCGCGCCCGGGCCCGACCAGGGGTCTTGACCCCGAATGCGAAGCGTCGGGCTTTCTGATTGGCTTAGAGTACAAACACACGCGTGCGCCGCCTGAGAACCTCGCTCCGATTGGATTGCATAGGAACAGCAGAGCACGAAATAAAGAGGCCGTCAGTCATTGGGCCATTGTGTGAATCTCCTTTTGGCTCCTCTGCCGACAGAATTAACGTCTCAGGATCTTCGTCATGACTCTTAAATCTGGGCCTGTCAGTTTGCCCCAGCGTTTCTCGTCGCTAGGCACGGCATGGAGTTTACAGAATTTGGCCAATCATATCACCTCGAGGTCAGGTTGCCAGGCAGATTATGCTAATGAGGCCCCGCCTTTTATGCTGCTCCCACTCTGCGGCGGGAAGAACCACCTGGAGGTGGCGGGGGGGGTTTGATTTCCATCACCCCTAGGGAGAGAGGATCGGGGACCCGCTGATCTTCCACCTCCCCTCTCCCAACGTCGTGTAAGTACCTAAAGGATTAAGGGAAACGGATAAACCAGGGTCCGCAGTACCCCATCGCCTGGGAGGGTGTTTCGTCTTTGCTTAGTCCCACCCAAAATGGCGCCCAGCTCTTTCCGCGTCTCAGAGCCCGGCCGGGGCCAACCGACCGCGGACCCGGGTGGGGGGGGATTGATGGTGGTGGTGGTGGGGGGGAGAAATCCCGGCGGCACCGCCCGATGGTACAGTCCAGCCGGGGCTGGGACACGGCACCTCACTCGGGGTGGGGGGTCAAACCATCGGCACCTTCCAAGGGGAAAAGGGCAAAACCCCCTCCTGGAGGCCCTCCTAGCGCCGCGTTCAGCGATGGCCTCGGCGCCTCCTCGCCCCTGTCTCCGCCGCGCGCGGCCTCCCCCGCGACCCCCGAGCGGCTCGCACGCTCCGCCGGCCGCGCGCACCTCTCCTCCCCTGCCCGCGTTGGTTGGGCCGGGACGGCGGTTGGGCGGCCTCGCGCTCCGGCGGCGGCGGCGGTTGGGCGGGCGCTTTGCTGGCCGGGCCGGGCTGTGAGGGCCGGCGCGGTGGGTGGCGGCGCGGCCATGGTGCCTCGGAGCCGCAGGCCGCGCGCGGGCGCCCAAGACCGCCTGCGGCCGCGCTCTCGCCGACGGGGCGCCCAGCTTTGTTTGGCGAGGCGGCGCCTCCCACCTGCCGTAGACTGCTGGTCCCCCGGCCTTTATTTACAAGGTGGCGCCGCCGGGGTCGGGAGGCCCCGCCCGTGCGGGGGTGCGGGGATGGCCCCTGTGGGTCCGTGCGGGTCAGCGCCGTGTCGCTGGGCCGGCCGGAGGCCGAGGTCGCGGTCGCGGTGTGGCCTTGCCGCCGCCCGCCCGCGCCGGGTGCGGTGCGAAGGCGTGACGGGACCCGCCGGCGGGGAGCGGGCTGAGGGCGCGCCGTTGGCCGGCCGTCGGCGGCTTTGGCTCGGCGTCCGGGGGTGCCCTGCTAAGTCCAGCGGGGGACTGTCGCCGTCCGCCCCCCAGGCAGGTGCCGGAGCGGGTAGCGCCGTGGAGGATTGGGCTGCGTGCGCCTCTCGCCTTGCGGGGTGCCACCAGTTGGGTTCAGACCTCGTGGGGGTGGCTTTGTGCCGGCGTCGAGGATGAAACGGGGGGCTGACGCCCATCGGGCCAGCCCTGTGCGCTCATTCGCCTCTTGGATCTGTGGAGATCCTGCCCAGCCCGTCGCCACCCCCTGAGACCTCTCTCAGCTCCTCGGCGCTTAACCGTCATTGGAAACAAATCACGCTGGACTGGAGGTCCAGCCTCCTGCCCTGCCCTGTCACCGTGTCTGGGGCCCGCCGCGGCGGCAGGGCGCGCGGTGTCCACTGCGGTGGCTACGACTTGATGCACTGCCGCTCTGCAGTGGAGCAGACACAGTTTGAAATAAACCAGGGATGTTGGGGAGGGGGCAGGCAATGCACTCTTGTAGCGGGGCCTTTTCAGCCTGACGTATTTAGAAACGACTAGGTTTACTTTCTAGAAACCAGTTCAGGTGAGATTGACATAAAACGAAGCCTTTTTAAAGCGAAGAGGTCCGTGGTTGACTTGTTTTGTTTTGCACTCAGGCATTTTTTTTTTTGCCCTGTCGGTGCCCCCCCCCCCCATTTCCATGAACATTCGCCCTTTGCGCTGTTGTTTTGCAAGAGTGCTAAGCCAGCCCGGCCTTTTTTTCCCCCAAAGAAGCCATTTTTACCTTTTCTAATATTCAGTAGCCTGCTCCACCACACATCGTGTATTGTACATCTGAATGTGAGTATGTGCCCTAGCTGTGTCCAAGGTTCCTGGCTTCCTGGACCCTGAGTGCTTTTTTTTTTTTTTTTTTTGTCATGTCATGATGGTGGTCTAAAGGCTGGCAGGTTAATCTGGTACGATCCCAAATTGATTGGCACTGCCTCAATTTCCACTTTGCTTAAGGCTTTTCTTTTCCTCTTCTAGTTTTAGCAGTCCCGTGCAATCATTGTAGAAAGTGTAGAAAATGTAGAAACATAATAAAAAGTTAACAGCCCCTGATATAAGGTTACCTGAAGTTATCCTTACTGATTATTTGGTGTTTTCCACATTGTGTGTAGGATATTTTTTTCCACACCCGGCATCATAATGTGTGGTTTACTATCTGCTTTTTACAAAACACCAAAGATTTGCCACTTGCAGTATTTTCCCCCGTAAGAGTTACCATGCTTTGACACTCTGCTTTTTTTAAAAGAATTTTTTCGCTGGCTTTATTTTCGAGTCTAGACTTGGACAAACTGTTCATTCCACAAAACAAAATAAACCTTGCCTCATTTTTCTTTTTAAAAGCATAGTCTGTTTGGGGGTGTGTGTGGGGGAGACGTTTCTGGATAACAAGCAGAATTGCTCCAAGGCCGGGAACTACTGAGCTATCATTCATTGGTTTCCTCACTGATTCTTACATCCTAAGTGCTGATGAACAGGTGATAACTGCATTATTTAGTGGACTCAAATGGATTTGCTGAAGACGGTCCTTGGAGGGTGCTTGTCCTTGCACTGTTTGTACTGGTTAGTCAGACTTTGTTTTAAACCTGAGTCCTGATGTACTTTGACCTATTGCCACTAAAATTGTGTCTACTCCAACCCCAACCCCAAAGAGAGTGGAAACACCTCGTCCAGCATTTGATTGTCGCCAGCAGAATTTGCTGTGTAAATTTGACAGGAACAGTAATAGATTAGCCAAGGGGAATTTGGTGTTTAGAGCCAGCTAGTTAGGAGTAAGGAAATTTTTGCTGCGGCCCAGATCTTTGCAGTCCAGTCCCCCTGGATTCGCCTGGTGCAGATGGGAGTAGTAGGAGGCTGAGGGAAGCTTCACTCTTCCCCACCCTTGACACGAAACTTCATTCAGTTTTTGAGGAATCACTGCTGCAGGGCCTTGGCCTCTGTCCTTTTTGGTCTCAGTGTTGTAACACTAGTTGGAGATTAGTGTGGAACATTCTGAACTCGCCTGTCTTCTGTTTTTTTCCCCCCCTACAACTCATTTGGCACTGATACCTCACTCTGTAGTCTTAAAATATTTAAAAATTCCCTTTCCAAAAATCTCAGTGCTTTCCCACTGTCCAAGTCTGTAGACTGTAAATTTGTTGCTAGAAAGCACTGGGAAGTAGGTTCTCTGTGCATAACCCAGAAGTGGCTTAGGGAGTTGGGGTATGTGTGTGAGGGAGGTTAGGGATAATCAAATTACAGTGACAGCAAGACTGGTAAGATGGGAAAGCCATCATCAAATGAATGGTATAGATGACCAAAATAGCCTGTTAAAGTAGTCTATTGTTACTGATTTTTAAGTTGAACGCACTTGTTTCAAACAGAATGTTTGAGCTGACTGTTCCCTTTTTCCTGCCTGTGTCCCCCTTCACTCTCACGGTCTGACACTGATGTTGCAACCCACAGCCTCACTCCTGTTTGCTGCAAGGGCTGTCCCTTGGATTTGCTCTATCCTAGCATCGAAGTCAATAGCTGTGTGTGCTACTGAGCATTTGGCATATGGCTGGTTCTCTAAGTGTGAAATACATACAGTAGATTTCAGATTTACTCTGGAAAAGATATAAAATACCTCGATTTCTAAACACTGATTCCATGTTGAAATGATATGTTGGATAAACTAGGTTAAGTAAAATAAATTATTGCATTTATCCATTTCTACTTTTTGTAGCTACCAGAACACTTAAAATTATGTTTATGGCTTGATGTTTCTATTGAAAAGCACAGCCTTGGTCTGATAGGAGCGGTGTGTTTGCAAGTAACAGTAAGATATAGTAGTTTTTGGTTTCTACAGTTTGAATGAGTATACACTGCTCTTATGTAGATGTGTCTGATTTTTGTAATGTTTATGATAACTGTCAAAGTATGATTCTTTCAAAAAATTATAAATTTATTTGAAAGGTAGAGACAGATAGAAATCTTTGATCTGGTTCATTCCTTAAATACCTGTAATAGCTAGGTTTGGGCCAGGCCAAAGCCAGGAGCCGGGAACTCCATCTGAGTCCTCCACATTGGCAGCAGACACCCACCTACTTGAGCAGGAACAGAGCCAGGGCTGGAATCCGGGTACTCCAGTGTCTGATATGGGATGCAGACATCACAAGAGGTATCTTTTAACTACTAAGCCAAATGCCTGTCCCAGAACACGATTCTTCTTCTTTTTTTTTTTTTAACAGGCAGAGTGGACAGAGAGGTAGAGACAGAGAGAAAGGTCTTCCTTTGCCATTGGTTCACCCTCCAATGGCCGCTGCGGCCGGCGCGCTGCGGCCAGTGCACCACGCTGATCTGATTGCAGGAGCCAGGTACTTATCCTGGCCTCCCATGGGGTGCAGGGCCCAAGCACTTGGGCCATCCTCCACTGTAATCCCTGGCCACAGCAGAGAGCTGGCCTGGAAGAGGGGCAACCGGGACAGAATCCGACACCCCGACCGGGACTAGAACCTGGTGTGCCGGCGCCGCAAGGCAGAGGATTAATCTAGTGAGCCGCGGCGCTGGCCTACGATTATTCTTTTGAAGACTTATCTTAATCTTGAAACTATCTCTGGGTAATTGAATTGCTATTAACTGAATTAATACATTTAATATTTGAGCTTAAAATTGTAAAATGACATCTGTGATTATATAACCTTTTTAAAAAAAGTCGAGCTAAGCATAATTGGCTGAATTTACCCAGACTTGGCCTACTACTTATTGATTTTTTTTCATTTTTTTTTAAAGATTTCCTTATTTGTTTTTGAAAGTCAGTTACACAGAGAGAGGAGAGGCAGAGAGAGGCCCTCCATCCACTGGTTCACTCCCCAGTTGGCCGCAATGGCCGGAACTTCACAGATTTTTATTTTTTTATTTTTTTGACAGGCAGAGTGGACAGTGAGAGAGAGAGACAGAGAGAAAGGTCTTCCTTTGCTGTTGGTTCACCCTCCAATGGCCGCCACGGCTGGTGCACTGCGGCTGGTGTGCTGTGGCCGGCGCACCGCGCTGATCTAATGGCAGGAGCCAGGTACTTATCCTGTTCTCCCATGGGGTGCAGGGCCCAAGTGTGGGGAGCAACTCGGACTAGACTAAGTTACTGGAATTAAGACTTATTCTATGCATCTGCTCTCCCACAATATGGCGCTGAGAGAAAGAGACCAAACAACCTCTACGCAGCTGCCTCATCAGTTTGACAAGCTGCAGGAGCTGATCCTGCTCCTGATTGGAGGAGAGCAGCATGCTCGGTGTGTGGGTAGCAGAGTTGGGATTGGTGGAAGAGGACTATAAAGGAGGAGAGAGACAACATGCACCAGGAAACATCCGGATAACATCTGAGCAGCCCCCGAGAGAGCCGGCCGGCGGTGTGCTGCTCCCCCGCGGAAGTGGGGAAAGTGGCAGGGGGAGCTGCCCCTCCACGGAGGTGGAGGGGTCGGCAGCCAACCCGGGAAAGACCAGCAGCAAACCCTGGAAGGGCCGAGCAGACAAAAGAACAGCGCAGGGTCCTGTGTCATTCCTCCGCGAATGGGGGAGCGACACCCAAGGACTTGGGCCATCCTCCACTGTACTCCCTGGCCACAGCAGAGAGCTGGCCTGGAAGAGGGGCAGCCGGGACAGAATCCGTCGCCCCGACCTGGACTAGAACCCGGTGTGCCGGCGCCGCAAGGCGGAGGATTAGCCTAGTGAGCCGCGGCGCTGGCCTACTTATTGATTTTTATAATTGGTCATTTCTCAAAGGTTTAAGAAAATATTTCTAGGAGAAACTTGAAATTTAAGCTCATATCTTTTCTCTCCTGTGGTTTAGAAAAAATGCCACAATAGAAGCAGGCATTTATGGGGCCAGCATTATGGTGTAGTGGATTAAGAGCTCTGTCTTTCCCTCTTTTTGTAACTGCCTTTCAAATAAATTTTTGGAAAGATTTATTTATTTGAGAGGTAGGGTTACAGACAGAGAGAGGGACAGACAGAGAGGTCTTCCTTCTGCTGGTTCACTCCCCAAATAACCACAATGGCTGAAACTGGGCCCATCCAAAGCCAGGAGCCAGAAGTTTCTTCCAGGTCTCCCATACAGGTGCAAAGGCCCAAGCACTTGGGCCATCTACTGCTTTCCCAGGCCATAGCAGAGAGCTGGATTGGAAGAGGAGCAGCTGGGGCATGAAGTGGTGCCCATATTGGCTGCTGATGCCACAGGTGGAAGCTTAGCCCACTATGCCACAGCGTTAGCCCCTAAATAAATGTTTACAAAGGTAGCAGCAGCAGCAGCAGCAGCAAGCATTTAGCCTATTGGAGTACCTGCGTCTTGGAGTACCTGAGTCCCATCCTTGGTTCGGACTCCTGACTCCAGCTTCCTGCCATTACAGATCCAGTGGTGTTGGCTCCAGTAGTTGGGTTCCTGCCTCCTATGTGGAAGGCCGGAATTATATTCCAGTTTCAGGCTTTGGTACCTGCCCAGCCCCTGCCATTGTGGCATCTGGGGAGTAAGCCAGTAAATGGGAGCTAGAGCTCTCTTTTTCTCTGCCTCTTGAATGAATTTAAAAGAAAAAGGCCTACAGTAGTTTGATTGTAAGTGTAGAACACTTTGGACCAGCTCCTGGGACAGCTGTCCTTGTGAACACTGCTAGCAGATCACCACCTACAGAAAATTCATATTCTTTCTACTGCCGTGTTTGACAGTGTTGACAGTTGAGCCCCAACATGCCTCGGTAGATGTATTTCCTTTTTTTTTTTTAAAGATTTATTTATTTATTTGAAAGTCAGTTACACAGAGAGAGGAGAATCAGAGAGAGAGAGAGAGAGAGGTCTTCCATCCGATAGTTCACTCCCCAGTTGGCCGCAGTGGCTGGAACTGTGCCCATCCGAAGCCAGGAGCTAGGAGCCAGGAGCTTCCTCTGGGTCTCCCACGTGGGTGATGTCCTTGGGCCATCTTCTACTGCTTTCCTAGGCCATGGCAGAGAGCTGGATTGGAACTGGAGTGGCCGGGTCTTGAACCAGTGTCCATATGGGGATGTCAGCACTGCAGGCCAGGGCATTAACCCGCTATGCTACAGCGCTGGCCCCGATGCATTTCCTTTTATTGCCCGTGTGGCAGTTGGATAGGGTGAACAGCATGGGCTCTGGGGCAGAGCACCTTAGATTTCAGTGTTCTCATTTCAACCAGCTGAGATCTTGGGCCAGTGGCGTATGTAAACCTCTGGTTCCTTATCATTTAACTGGTTCCATGATTCTGAACAGGGCTAATAATGGTACGAATCTCAGTTTGTGTGTGAGGATGCTTGTTAGTCACTCACTGCTATACTTGGCTCAGCAACAAGGCGTGCAGTACTGAACGGCTCTGTAATTGCTAACCTGGTTGAACCCCTCCCTCAGCCAAACTGGCCTTCCCCTGTCCCTTACCTATTCCAGTTTTCCCTTCCTGTTTTCATTCCTTCATTGCCCAAGTAGTGTGTTTCTTCCAGTCCTCTGCCAGCTCTGTTGTTTGCAAAGGACTAGATTGTAAATACTTTTGTCTCTGTGGGCCATATGATCTCTGTTGAAACTGCTTCTTCCCTCTGCCCTGCAAAGCATGACTGTGAACCAATACAACTATATTTTGGACCCTGACATTTGAATTAATGCAACTTTAATGTGTCATGAAATATCTTACTTTTGAGTCTTTTTAACCACATTAACATGTAATGTTAACATGCAAAAGCCTTTCTTAGGTCACAGGCTGAACAATAACAGGTGTCAGGCCACCTGCAGGCTAGAGTGTGCCACCCCTGTCCCAGAGCAAGCAGAAATGTCATAGCCCTCCTTGAGGCCTTGGCAACCATCTTGTTAAGAGTGATCCTCTTTGTCTATGGAGTTCCTGCAGGATTTTTGTGTGCTTTTTCATAATAGAAGTGCTTAATCTGTATTGTATTGCATTGCAATTATTTGTACTTGACTCTTGCTTCCTAAACAGACTATAAATCTTTAGAAGCTACAGATGTGTTTTAGCCCCCTCTTAAAATGCAGCACAAAAGTGCCTTTTACACATTTGATTCTAAAATGTTTTGAAGAAACAGGTCTGGGCCAAGTTGAGCTATGAGCTGTCTTCTATTGCCATCCCAAGCACATTAGCAGGGAACTGGATGGGAAGTGGAGCAGCCCCTACTTGACTGGGGCCCTCAAATATGGGATGTCTATGTTGTATGGTCAGGGCTGGGCCAGACTGAAGCCAGGAGCCTGGAACGCCATTTGGGTCTCCCTTGGGAGTGGCAGGGGCCCACATAGTTGGATCATCTTCTGCCTTCATAAATGCGTTAGCAGGAGCTGGATTGGAAGTGGAGCTGCCAGGTCTCGAACCTTCACTCATATGGGGTGCCTGTGTCATAGGTGTCTGTGTAACACATCGCAGACCCAGCAATGCATAGGTTCTTTACAGAGAAAATTCTAAAACTTCATTGAGTGACTTTAAACGAAGACTTACTAAATGGACAGCACAGTGGTTCAGGGACTGGAGGGTACTCTGAAGATGCCATTACCATGGAAACTGATTTATAGATGTCATGTAATCCAAGAAAAAAATTTAAAACTCAAAAAAGCATTTTCGAAACCACATACAGTCTCAACCCACGAAATGGCATAACACTTTTGACAAAGAAAGTTGGGAGAACTTGACTAAGAGACCAAGAGGAGCTGTGATAATTAAGATGGTGTGGGCCAGCGCTGCGGCTCACTAGGCTAATCCTCCGCCTGCGGCGCCAGCACACCGGGTTCTAGCCCCGGTCGGGTCGGTGCTGGATTCTGTCCCGGTTGCCCCTCTTCCAGGCCAGCTCTCTGCTGTGGCCCCGGGGTGCAGTGGAGGATGGCCCAAGTGCTTGGGCCCTGCACCCGCATGGGAGACCAGGAGAAGCACCTGGCTCTTGGCTTTGGATCAGTGCACGGTGTGCAGGCCGCAGCGCGCCAGGGCGCAGCGGCCATTGGGGGTGAACCATCGAAAGGAAGACCTTTCTCTCTGTCTCTACCTCTCTCACTGTCCACTCTGCCTGTCAAAAAAAGATGGTGTGATGTTGGCACTGGATAGACCTACAGTGGTGGATCAGTAGAACACCATAAGGAGTCCAGAAATAATCTCCTACGTATTCAGACACTGGATTTATGACCCAGGGGTCCCGGCAAAGGAAAGACGGAACTGTAAAGGAGAAGCTGACATTGGAGACCACATCCATGACCTCCACTAGTGTGGAGAAGGATTTCTTCAGAAGCTGCTTGCGGAAGAGCAGGCACAGCTCACGGAAGGGCACTTTAGGAAAGGAACGGCCAGATGTCGAATGACTGTGAAAAGGTGCCCAGTCTAGGTAATAGTCAGTGAAACACAGACTGCCCTGCATACCTGAATTCAACTTGACAGTACCAGATCGTGAGCAGGTCGAGCAATATGGACTTTCAGAAATGGCTGGTAGGGATGTAAATTAGTTATAAATACTTTGGAAAACAGTAACACCAAGAGAGTAAAAAAATACATATACTCTAGTGGCCATCTGTTCTGTTAGAGAAATTACATACGTATGAGAGAACCAGAAAAAATACTTAGTTATTTTCATCCTGTGATTTGGTTCAATTAATCTTTTTAAATTTAAAATTTTAAATCTAATTGGCATAGTAATTGTGTATACAAGGCTGGCATTGTGGCTTAGCAAGTTAAGCTGTTGCCTGTAAAACTGGCATCCCAGATGTGTGCCAGTTAGAGTCCCAGCTGTTCTACTTGCGATCCAGCTCCCTGCTAATGTGCCTGGGAAAGCAGCAGAGGTCCAAGTGCTTAGGCCCCTGCACCCACATGGGAAAACCTGGATGAAGTTCCTGGCTCCTAGCTTTGGCCTGGCCCGGTCCTGGCTGTTGTAGCCATCTGGGGAGTGAACCAGCAGTTGGAAGATCAATCTCTCTGTCTTTCCTTCTCATTGTAACTCTGCCTTTCAGATAAATAAATCTTAAGAAACAGTTGTATAGGGCTGGCGCTGTAGTGTAGCAGGTTAAGCTGTGACCTGCAGTGCCAGCATCCCACGGGGGCACTGGTTCGAGTCCCGGCTGCCCCACTTCTGATCCAGCTCTCTGCTATGGCCTGGGAGAGCAGAAGATGGCCGAAGTGCTTGAGCCCCCTGCACCATGTGGGAGACCCAAAAGAAGCTTCTGACTCCTGGTATTGGACTGGCATAGCCCTGGCTGTTGTGGCCATTTGGGAAGTGAACCAGCAGATAGAAGATCTCTCAGTCTCTGCTTCTCTCTCTACTTTTCAGATAAATCTTAAAAATTGTGTATATTAATGGGATATAGTATGATAATTTGATAATGCATACAATGTCATCAAGTCATGGGCTAATTAGCATTTCCTTCTCTAATATTTATCATTTCTTTGTGTTAGGAAGCTTCAAACTCTTCCCTTCTAGCTCTTTATAAAACATATAATAAATTGTTGGGAACTATTGATTGAATTACATGAGGGCGCTATGTTCTATAGAGACAGGTTGCTTTTTTTTTTTTTGTAAAAATGGTGAGTAAATGTTATGCATGTTTTCCCTCTGTGCTAAATATGTTAAGATCTGTCATCCTTTGTGTATTTCCTTTGTTAAAGCTGGCCACTCAGTGGGCATTTAATGAATATTGTGTGGGAACTGCTGGAATTTTTCCAATGGGAACCCTTCTACAAGCCCGCATGGTTTTATCAGCTCCTTGGCTATTGAGTGGCTTGGTCAGGTCCGTCCGTTGGTGGCTTTAGGAAATCACAGCCTCCCCTGGATCCCTTGAAAGGAAGCCCAGCCTGGTGACTGCGGCATCTAGAGGGAGATCAGGGGGACGGTGGCAGGCCCTGCCCGGCTTTGTAGGAGCAGGGAGGGGAAGGATGGTTCTCGCTCTGTAGTAGAAGGGGTCCGGGCTTGAATCTCACTGTGACCTGGCACAAGGCGTCCTTCCTGGTGGCGCTGAGGGTCAGTTGAGAGCGAGTGTTTGTTCACAGGCCCTCTGTGTAATGGGAACGGCAGGAGCTGGGAGTGGGAGCACTGTGATCATGCTGATCTGTTAGGAGCTGCCTCTGGTCAGGGGTCTAAGTTTGCTCTCCTTTAACTCCTCCAGGGGATTTCTGTCACACCTGAATGAATGACCCACTGAAGTGCTGGCAGTGAACAGTTAAGGCTGAGATTTGCAAACATGTGGAAGGAAATAATGACTACATGGTTTTACAGTTCTGTCAATTTGCAGTTGAAATACACGCATTATAAGGGAGTACCTGATCCCTACAGTGAGGAGCTCTTTATTCCCAACTTAATTGTTTAATAATGAAAATGTATTAAACTACCTCTTAATTAAAAAATAAGACTTTTCTGAATAAGAGACCTTCACGATCTAGTACTTAGCCTGTGGTACACATAATTTAAATAGTTATTAACATTTGCAACACTCTGTACCAACCATTATCCCGCTTTACATGAACAGTGAGCTTGGGAGTTAGCTAAGACTGGTGGTATTATTCCGAGTGTCAAGATGAAATTATACATGTGTTCACCTCACTTCTGTTTCCGCCACTTCATACTGAGAAAGCACTTTCAGAAATGTGGGGGCTGGTAGAGGACAACTCTGAATACCAGACCAGTGAATGCTGGTTTATTCTGGGAGTTTTATCAAAGTGGAGTAGGTTGACGTTTGGTGGATTGTCCATCTTCCTTCTGTGCCAGTAAGATGGATTTTTTTATGAAGGGAATAACTGCTTTAATATGCTAACTGGGCTCACTGTCTTGTTCATAAAGAAATTTTTAAGAAAACTCATTCTGTGTTGCCCATTTAACCTTGCAAACAAGGGGTTGAGCTTGATGAGTGAGGAGCTGAAAATGGAAAAACAGGTGAGGGGCATTCACGAGAACCTGTTTACAGGGGGCACGAATCAGATAGGAAGGGAATTACTTCAAACCAGTATCAGTTTGCTTCTTAGTTCTGAGGCGGAGTCATGGATCAGTCTCTTTGAACAAAGGACCATTTGTCAGGAGTTGGGACAGAGTGATGGGGTTGTTAAGCTGTTTTTCCTGGTTTATACACATAGTGTATATAAATTATGAAAATTGAGCTCCAGATTAATTTTTCCCTGAGCAATTTTAATGCATTCCTTTTCCCCCAGTGAAAACATTAAAACACTTGAATTTATTGTGAAAACAGCTTACTAATACGATTTGTTGAGCCATAGTTACCCCGAGACCATCTGTAAGGAAAGCTTTGGGGCCCAGAATACCCACCTGAAAATCTCCTGGTTACCGCAGTTCCCCAGAAGAGCATGAGATATGTGGGACAGGTAGCTTTTGGTGCACAGGTGTACCAGGCCCGCAGGTCGTATCTGCCTCCTGCTGTTTGTTGAATAAATGGCGTTGTTCTGAAAGGAGCCGGAGGGAACGTGCTTGCAGCTTTGTACAGCCACAGTTGAAAAATAGGGATGCTTGGGGTTATTTGATGAGTCATTTGCAGCAAGCTCTTCGTCTTCCAGTGTCCCTTGTAGCTGCACATTTCACATCCAGTGCTGCTTTCGGGTCCCCTGACGGGGTATGGTTCAGCCTTGCTTGTTACCGGGTGGTGGAGGGCAGCTGGGTGAGAGCAGTCTGGTTGGCAGGGAAGACCATCTGCACTCACTGCCACCAGCCTTCTCAGAATTCCGAGGCACAGACACATCAGGGAAGCCGGTGAGTTGCATATTTTGAAGAAAAGCGGACGATTCTTCCTGAGTTTCTGTTCAGCAATGACGGTGGCTTTGGTCATTGCAGGGTTGTGTAAAGAATAGTTGTTACTATCACGGAGTTGCAGTAGGCACTCATAGCCCTAATCTTGGTCTCCTTCCTAGAGGCAGGTCTTGGCCTCTGTGTAATCAGCCTCTTGTATGACTTGTAGAATGATTTTCCAAAAAGTATCACTGCCGTGATAAGATATTTTTCTTTTCCTTGTTGTGCTGCAGGAGTTACCTAGATCTGGCTGGCACCAGGATCACCTGTGGAGGTTTATAAGTAAAGGATGCTGTCTCGACTCTGGGGAGTCCAGTTCATGAGCTTTGGGAGCTGTAGCCCAATTACAAGAAGTTTAGACTTTCACTTTGTGGCCTTTCATCAGCCCATCCTAACCACTGTTTGAGATTTTCTCATTCATAGTTGCTAGTCCTTAAGCATGCTCTTAATTTTCCTTGCCTCTGGAACCTTCTCAAGCTGTTTCATCAGAGATACCTTCATATTTACTCTAGGAGCAAATAACACGTGCCCCCCCCGCTTCTCTCTCCCTTCTATGTATGTTAGGGTTCTTGATGCATATTGCCAAGTTGTTTCCTAGGAAGCTTGCATTGGGTGCAGGGGCCATTCTCCGCTGATTTCCCGGGTGCATTAGCAGAGAACTGGATAGCAAGTGGAACAGGCAGGTCTTGAACCAGCATCCAAATGGGATGCCAGTGGCTTTACCCACTCCACCATAGTGCTGGCCCTTGTTGAGCTGTGATTTGCATTCACAAATCAGTCATTTGAAGTGTACTGTTCAATGGCTCTGATATATTCTCAGAGTTGTGCAGAGGACGCCATCACCACAATCAGTTTTTGAAACATTTCCCTAATCCCCAGAGGAAGCGCATAGCCCTTAGCAGTCACTCGGCCCTCCCTCTCCTCCCAAGCCCTGTGGTTTGCGGGTTTGCCTGTAGGACATGTTTCACGTAAATGGGATCATTCAGTCTGGCTCTTTGTGACTAGCTGCTTTAACTCCGCCTAATGCTTTCAGGGCCCAGCCATGATGTAGCATGTGTTGGTACCAATTCCTTTTTTATTTTAAAGATTTTATTTATTTATTTGAAAGGTAGAGTTATGAAGAAGCAGAGAGAGAGAGAGAGAGAGAGAGAGGTCATCCATCTGCTGTTTCACTCCCTAGTTGGTCATAATGGCCAGAGCTGTGCAGATCTGAAGCCAAGAGCCGGAAGATTCTTCCAGGTTTCCCATGCCAGTGCAGGGGCCCAAGGACTTGGGCCATCCTCCACTGCTATCCCAGGCCATAGCAGAGAGCTGGATCAGAAGTGGAGCAGCCGGGACTAGAACCGGCGCCTATATGGGATGCCGGCGCTTCAGGCCAGGGTGTTAACCCGCTGCATCACAGCACCGGCCCCCAACATTTTTTCTTTTAAGATTTATTTGAAAGACAGAGTTACAGAGAAAGAGAGATCTGTCTGCTGATTCACCCCCAAAATGGCCGCAATAGCTGGAGCTGGTCTGATCAGGAGCCAGGAGCCAGTTGCTTCTTCCGGGTCCTCCACATAGGTGCAGGGGCTCAAGCACTTGAGCCATGTTCTGCTGCTTTCCCAGATGCACCAGCAGGGAGCTGGATTGGAAGTAGAGCAGCCAGGACTGGAACTGGTGCCCATATGAAACACTTGCGCTGCATAACCCTGCTATGCCAGTCCTGCCTGGCAACATTTTAAGCATGTGAAAAAGTCAAATGCTAAACAGTACTGGAGATTTTTTTTTTCATCATTAGAAATGAGTACACATTTCAGATGCTGCAAAACTATGAAAATAAGGGTGTCTGGGCTTGAACATATGCCATAAAACACATGTAAAAATATAATTTGTCTTTACGAAAATTACATCCAACCAGTAGCAAAGAAAGATGTCAATAATGAAGTCTCTTGTGGCCGGCACTGTGGTGTAGGAGGTAAAGCCTCCGCCTGTGGCGCTGGCAGCCCTTATGGGTGCTGGTTCCTGTCCTGGCTGCTACTCTTCAAATCCAGCTCTGCTAATAACTGGGAAAGCAGTGGAGGATGGCCCAAGTGCTTGGGTCGCTGCATCCATATGGGAATCCCAGAGGAGGCTCTTGGCTCCTGGCTTCGGATTAGCCCAGCTCTGGCCGTTGAAGCCATTAGGGAAGTGAACCAGCAGATGGAAGACTTTTCTCTCTGTCTCTCCCTCTCTCTGTAACTCTACCTCTCAAATAAATAAGTAAATCTTTAAAAAAAATGAAGTTTTCAGACATGTTTACTACGTGTATCTTACATATAGTGATGCCATATCTCATACACTGAGATGCCAAGTGCATAGATCCAAACAGAGGCTTCTCACTGAATCAAAGAATTATTGGAGAAGGGTTGAATTCTTACACGTAACACACTCAAAACTTTCTATATAGAGAGTGCTGGATCATAACAATGTATTCTGGGGCTGGAACTGTGGCTATCGGGTAAAGCCACTACCTGCAGTGCTGGCATCCCATATGGGCGCCGATTCGAGTCCTGGCTGCTCCACTTCTGATCCAGATCTCTGCTATGGCCTGGGAAAGCAGTGGAAGATGGTCCAAGTCCTTGGGCCCCTGCACTCGTGTGGGAGACCCGGAAGAAGCTCCTGGCTCCTGCCATTGGATCGGCCCAGTTCCAGCCACTGTGTTTATTTGGGGAGTGAACTAGCAGATCGAAGACCTCTCTCTGTCTCTGTCTCTGTCTCTGTCTCTGTCTCTGCCTTTCAAAGAAATAAATCTTTAAAAAAAAAAATTTCCAATGTGGTGGCAAGGATTCAAGTAGATGTCTTAAAATATCTCTCTCTCTCTCTCTCTTTGTAACTCTGCCTTTCATATAAATAAATAAATCTTTAACAATGTATTCCACTGTATTCCTGAGAGGTTGTGTCTTCTCTGGCAGTATAAAATTCCCTGGTCAGTTTCAAAGTTCTGGTAACACAAAGGCATTTTCTGGTGCATGCAGATGTTGCAGTGGGCATCAGTGAGAGTGGAAGAAAATTGTAGATTTCACACCAAGTTTCTGTTGAGCTTTGTCAAACCAAACAGCCTAACTATAAGGCAAGCTAAAACACCCCCTATAACAGATTAGTGGGTTTGACCAAGTAAATGTAGGAATTTGACCTTAGGAAAAAAATGCTGCATGAACAGACCTAAAACAGTTGGCATTGAAATAAGCATCTAGTAATTAACATCTTGGCCTGCAGGCATTGTTTCAAAAGCCTGACCAAAAATAATCTGTTGTTCTGTATTATTAAGTTTTTAAAATCAGCACTAGTCCTTCAAATCTCAGATTATAATATGGTCTTCATTACAATACATCCTTTTTTGTGCCATATGAACACAGTTATAATTAGGTTAAAGAAAGCTGAATTTGTTCAAATTATTATGTTTTTATGTATATTGAATACCAACTTTTTTTTTTTTTAGAGATTTATTTATTTGAAAGAGTTACAGGAGAGAGAGTCTTCCATCTGCTGGTTCATTCTCTAATTGGCCGCAACGGCTGGAGCTGTGCTAATCTGAAGGCAGAAGTCATGAGCTTCCTCCAGGTCTCTCAAGTGGGTGCAGGAGCCCAAGGACTTGGGCCATCTTCTACTGATTTCCCAGGCCATAGCAGAGATCTGGATGGGAAGTGGAGCAGCTGGGTCTCAAACCAGTGTCCATATGGGGTGCTGGTGCTTAGGCCAGGGCGTTAACCTCTGCGCCACAGCGCTGGCCCCTAACATTTTTTTTAAAGATGTATTTATTTATTTGAAAGTCAGTTACACAGAGAGAGGGGAGGCAGAGAGAGAGAGAGAGAGAGAGAGAGAGAGAGAGGTCTTTTTTTAATAGAAAACTTTTATTTAATAAATATTAATTTCAAAAGTACAACTTGTGGATTATAGTGCTTCTTCCCCCCATAACCACCCTCCCACCCGCAAACCATCCCATCTCCTACTCCCTCTCCCATCCTATTCTTCATTAAGAGTCCTTTTTAATTATCTTTATATACAGAGGATCAACTCTGTACTGAGTAAAGATTTCAACAGTTTGCACCCACACAGACACACAAAATATAAAGTATTGTTTGAGGGTTAGTTTTACTGTTAATTCTCATAGTACAATGCATTAAGGACAGAGGTCCTACATGGGGAGTCAGTGCACAGTGATTTCTGTTGTTAACAATTGACACTCTTATTTATGACATCAGTAATCACCCAAGGCTCTTGTCATGAGCTGCCAAGGCTCATAAGCCTCTAGAGTTCACAAACTCCAACCTTTTTTAGACAAGGCCATAATCAAAGTGGAAGTTCTCTCCTCCCTTCAGAGAGAGGTACCTCCTTCTTTGATGGCCCCTTCTTTCATTGGGATCTCACTCATAGAGATCTTTCATGTAGGTCATTTTTTGCCACAGTGTCTTGGCTTTCCACCCGAAAAACTCTTATGGGCTTTTCAGCCAGATCTGAATTTCTTAAGGGCTGATTCTGAGGCCAGAGTGCTGTTTAGGGCACTTGTCATTCTACGAGTCTGCTGTGTATCCCGCTTCCCATGTTGGATCATTTCTTCTTTTTTAATTTTATCTATTATTAGCAGACACTGGTCTTATTTTTGTGATCCCTTTGACAATCCTATCATTATGATCAGTTATAGACTTAAACTTATCACCTTAATTAGTAAGGTGGCATTGGTACCTGCCAACTTAATGGGATTTGAATTCCCATGGCAAGTTTTTAGCCTTACCCTTGGGGGTAAGTCTGAGGGAGCATGTGCCGAACTGTACATCTCCCTGAGAGTGGTCTTTCATTCACTGTTTCACTCCCCAATTGGCCGCAATGTCTGGAGCTTCACGGATCCGAAGCCAGGAACCAGGAGCTTCCTCCGAGTCTTCCCATGTGGGTGCAGGGGCCCAAAGACTTGGCCCATCTTCTGCTTTCCCAGGCCATAGCAGAGAGCTGGATTGGAAATGGAGCAGCTGGGACTCAAACTGGCATCCATATGGGATACCAGGTCCATATAGGATGCCTGTGCTGTGGCATAGCAAGTAAAGCTGCCACCCTTTTTTTTTTTTTTTAAAGATTATTTATTTTAAAGGCAGAGTTTTATATATATAGAGAGAGAAAGATCTTCCATCCACTAGTTAACTCCCCAGATGGCTGCAACAGCCAGGGTTGGGCCAGGCCGAAGCCAGGAGCCAGAAACTCTAGATCTCCCAGATGGCTGGCAGGAAGCCAAGTACTTCAGCCAGCTTCCACTGCTTTCCCAGAGGCATTAGCGAGGAGCTGGATTGGAAGTGGAACAGCCGAGACTTGAACTCATGCCTGTATGGGATGCTGGTGTTGCAGGCAGGAGTTTAAACCACTGCACCACAACATCAGCCCCTTAAGTTTCTTTTATTGTGCTTCTGTTTGGGGGCACTTTGATGGAAGAGAAATTCGTTTCCCAGGATTGCATCCTTCCAAAGCATTCCTTAGCATTGGTCCAAACTTACCTGTTTTGAATAATGCTACAGAGATTCATGCACAGATTTTTTTGGGGGGATACATGTTCTTATTTCTTTTGGGTTTATTATACCTTGGTGAGAAAACACAGGGCCACCTGATATCATAGAGCCTTTTGTGGAGTTGCCAGGATGGTTTTCAAAGTAACTGCAGCATTTTACATTCTTCCCAGCCATGTAGGAGGGTTCCAGGCTGTCCACATCCTCACCAGCACTTATTACCTGTGGCAGTATCCAAATTTTGAATGAAATTAAAAGAAGGAAAATATCACTAACAAAAGCAATTTTGTGACATTGGATTGTGATATTGGATCCTGATGGCTGTTGCCTGTGTTATGTCTGGAGCTCTTAAAACAATAAAAAATATAGATTAACGTTTTGATGAAATTGAGGCCACAAAACCTTTATTCAACTATTTTGAAGCTACAGTGTGCTGTAGCTTTTTCACCTGGTCAGGCCTTGATTTATTAGCAGAGAATTTACAATCTGATTGCATTTCAAGTAAATGCTGCCCATGCAATAGCAGACAACACTCTGAAATGCGTATTTTCTCATGACTTTGCTCATTCTTTTTTAGCCCTAGGGATGAACATGAATGGCTAGGATGTATTATACTCACAACCACAACAACAAACTCTTTTTTTTTTTTTTTTTAAGGTGTATTTATTTTAGGCAGTTACGGAGAGGCAGAGGCAGAGAGAGACAGAGAGAAGTCTTGCATCTATTGCTTGACTCCCCAAATGGCTGTAATGGCCAGAGCTGCCCCCATCTGAAGCCAGGAGCCAGGAGCTGCTTCTAGATCTTCCACATAGGTACAGGGGCCCAAGTGTCTGGGCCATCTTCTACTGCTTTCCCAGGCCATAGCAGAGAGCTGGATCAGAAGTGGAGCAGCCGGGACTTGAACTAGCTCTCATATGGGATGCCAGCCCTGCAGGCGGCGGCTTTACCCGCTACCCCACAGTGCCAGCCCCAACAACAAACTCTTGATTGTTTCCCGTGTGTCAGGCCTGGTGTTAAGCACTTTTCTATAGTTTTTCATTTGCATAGTCTATCATTAATTTCATAATGTCACTTTATTAGTATTCATTGTTTTAAATTTAAGACAGAAGAGAGAGTGAGCTTCCATCTGCTGGTTCACTCCCCAGATACTCACAATGGCTTGTGCTTGACCAGAGTAGGAGACAAGACCTGGAAACTCATCTAGGTCCTCTGGTTGACAAGAACCCAGTTACTTGAGTCCTTACTGCTCCCTCCCAGGGTTTGCATTAGCAGGAAAAAAGAGTCAGGAGCAGAGTAGGTAGTGAACCCAGGTACTCTGATGTGGGATGGGATGTGGGTGTCCTAACCACAGGGGTAAAAAGCTGCTCCTCACATTATTTTCTGTTGCTACTCTTGGGAGTAAGCTGTTTTGTAGAAGAGCAAGTTGCTACTCTTGGGAGTAAGCTGTTTTGTAGAAGAGCAAGTTGAAGCGTGAGACGTGCAGTGACTTGGCCCTGTAACTGGTGGCTGAAGTGTCTGAATCCAGGCCCCCTGACTGGAGTTCGGCTGCCTCCCACCCAGAGCCGTGCAGCAGTGTCAAGGGCAGGGGAGGGGGACGTCTGGTCATTCAGTCATGCTAACACCAGGTGTTGGGTGAGGCCTTGCCACGGGCCCACCGCGTGGGAAAGCTATGTGTGTGTGTGTGCCATTTCCAGCAGTACCTGTTTCCTCCCGGAGCCTCTGCCCCTCCTGTTAACTGAGACAGGAGATGGACATTCTAGTCCCAGATCTGATCCCACCATAGACGTGCTTCCCTGTGCCCACAGCAGCCTGCTTTTACTGCCGTGCACAGATGGCAAAATCTGAGCTATTCTTGCAGCGTTGATGGGGGAGGGTCGCAAGGCTATGGAGATAAAGGCGTTCCGAAGCTTTAGAGTCTATATCAAGATGCACCCCTGTGGGAACTGGACTTTCAGATCATTCCTTTTAGTGCCAGGTTGGGCTTCCGTGTATTCTTTGCATGTATAAAGGCTGATTTTGACTTTGATTCTGAGGACCTGGGAGTGGCTGAGCTCTGTGTGCCTCTGCAGCCGTATTAGTGACACTAGTTCAAGTTCCTTCAGGGGTTCTGGTTTGCTAGTTTATACTACTAGAGAATGCCATCTAAAATGTAATCTCCCCCATAGTGCTTGTGTTTTCTCTCCAGCTCATTGAAGTTCAGTTATAAACATTGATATTATATACACATTTATGTATATGTGTGTATCTTTGCCCGATTTATTCACTGTGGAAGCATTTGTCTCCATTTTTTAAAAAAGATTTATTTATTTGAAAGAGTTACACAGAGAGAGAAGGAGAGGCAGAGAGAGAGAGAGGTCTTCCATCCACTGGTTTACTCCCCAGATGACTGCAATGGCCTGAGCTGCGCTGATCCAAAACCAGGAGCCAGGAGCTTTTTCCGGGTCTCCCATATGGGTGCAGGGCTACCCTCCACTGCTTTCCCAGGCCATAGCAGAGAGCTGGATTGGAAGTGGAGCAACTGGGACTAGAACCGGTGCCCATATGGGATGCCAGTACTGCAGGAGGTGGCTTTACCCACTAAGCCACAGTAATGGCCCCTGTCTCCATCATTTTTAATGGCAATACATAAAAACAGACTACATCCTGAGAGGGGGTTTATTAAGTAACAAAGTACCTTCCATTCATTGCAGAAGTGTTTGTGGATGACTTCCTGTACCAGACAGGGCAGTAGGTGCTGGGGGTACTCTGTGGTCCAGGCAGGGGAGGTGGCCCTTGGGCAGCACATTTCAGTGTGTGTGTGTGGGAGTGGGGAGAGCACATGCATTGCACACTCACAGAGCTCTCCTAATAGGTGGGTGCCTGGCAGGGTGTGAAGGAGAGCCAGGTGAGAGAGGCTCATCAGAGAGGCCTACCGAGGAGCTCACCTTGACCCTGAGGCCTCAGTCATGAGAAGTTGTTGGAAAGCATCCAGGTAGAGGAGACCGCTGTTGCCAGTGCTGTGGCACAGCGGGTAACGTGCTGCTGCCCCAGTGAGCCCACCTGCGCATGTGTACCTCCACACCTCAGTTCTCTTCCCAGCCCACCCTGGGGGCTCCAACCCCATCACTGCCCCCCACACCGAGCTTTTCAGGGGCTACTGCCAGATCTCGCTCCCCGGCTCCAGTGCCACTCGGCCTCCCTGTGACAGTCACCTCTTCCTCACACTCTTCTCTTGCTTCCCTAACACTGAACACCCCAGGCGTCCCTGCCCTCTCTCTCTGGTGGTTCTGGGAGTGGCACTGCCCAGGCTCCCCCAGCTCCTCCTCCTCTGCTTGGCTTTACTTACTCTTCTGGCCCCCTAGGGGTTTGTTCTGTTTTGTTTTTGTAAAGATTTATTTATTTATTTATTTGAAAGGCAGAGTTACAGAGAGACAGACACACACACACACACACACACACACACAGAGAGAGAGAGAGAGAGAGAGAGAGAGAGAGTGTGTCTTCCATCCACTGGTTCACTCCCCAAATGACCACAACAGCTGGAGCTTCACTGATCCAAAGCCAGGAGCCAGGAGCTTCTTCCCAGTCTCCCACGTGTGTGCAGGGGCCCAAGGCCTTGGGCCATCTTCTACTGCTTTCCCAAACCACAGCAGAGAGCTGGATGAGTAGTGGAGCAGCTGGGACTCAAACCAGAACCCATATGGGATGCCAGTGCTGCAGGCAAGGGCTTTAACCCACTGCACCAGCCCCTGTATATTTAAGTTTTTTTTTTTTTTAAACAAAATGTTCAGCAGAATAGGGACATATTTAAATTGGTAATTGGCACATCTATCATGTTCACAGCAATGAGATTACTGAAAATACTTCAGTATCTGAAAAGATGTTCAGAGTATATTGTTATGTTAAAATGTGGTTCCATTTGTGCACAGCATGTATGTGTATAAAGACAGCCAGTTCCCCCTAATTTTTTATTTACTCATTTTCATTTTATTTGCAGGGAAGAGAGACAGGCAGAGATGCAATATCTGCTGGTTCAGTTCCCCAAACGGCCAGAACAGTCAGGGTTAGGTCAGGTGGGTCCAGGAGCCTGGAACTCCTTCTGGGTCTCCCGTGTGGGTGGTGGGTGGCAGGGACCCAAGTGGGAGCATCATCTGCCTCCCAGCGCACATTAGCAGGAAGCTGGATCAGAAGCAGGGTTGCTAGGACTCAAACCGGGCACTCTGATAAAAGGAGGTGGATGTTCCAAGCAGCGACTTGTCTGCTACGCCAAATGCCCACCACAAGTAACAGCTGGTTTTCTGATGGGTTTGTATATGATAGAACAATGGAAGGACACAACCTAGAACATTGGATTGTGGCTACATCTGAAGAATGGCTTGGAAGTGGGAAACGTTTACTTTTCATTTCAAATTATCCCAAACTGTCAGATTTTTCCTCCTACAGGTGTGTGCAACCCTCACAAGAAATTTTAGAACATTTTTATCACCTCGAAAAGGTGTCCCACACCTTTAGTCACCTCTCCATCCTCCCCATTCCTTGACCGTGAGCAATCACTGATGTATTACTTTCTGTGTCTACAGACTTCCATATCCTGGACTTTAACATAGAACAGGTGGCACACCGGCCTGAAGGTTCAGTCGTGTCACAGCACGTATGCATGCTTCACTCCTTTGTTCTGGTTGAATGGTAAATATCCTGTCCTGTGGATATGTCACATTTTATTTATGCCTTTGTCAATTAATGCACACTTGAGTTGTTTCCACCTTCTGGCTATTATGATTAATGTGACTATCAACTCTTTTTGTACAACTTTTTATATGGGTACCTGTTTTCATTTTTTGAGAGTATATTCTTAGGAGTGGAATTGCTTGGTTGTGTGGTTAATTCTGTGTTTAATTGTTTGAGGAACTGCCAGAATGTTTTCCAAAGTGACTGGACTACTTTACATTCCGTAAAGTATAAGCGTTACGATTTCTCCACATCCCCACTAACACTTGTTTTTCTTTGGCTGGTTGATTCAAGCCATCCTAACGAGGATGAAGTGGTCTCTCATCGTGGCCTTGACATTTCCCTGCTAACGAGTGGTGTTGAGTGTCTTCATGTGCTGTTGGTCATTTGTGTATCTTCCTTGGGAAAACGTCTATTCAGATTCTTTGTTAGTTTGTCTTTTATTACTGAGTTTTATGAGTTCTTTCTGTAGTTTGTATATAGATCCCTTATCAGAAATACGATTTGCCACTCTTCAGATTTTCTCCTGTTCTCTAGGTTGTCTTTTTATCCTTGCTGGTATCCTTCAAAGAACAAAAGGTTTTCATTTTGATTCAGTCTAATTTATCTTTTTTTCTTTTGTTGCTCATTGTTTTAGTTTCATATTTAAGAATCTTTTTGCCAATTTTGAGGTTATGGAGATCACCCCTCTGTATTCTTCTTTACAAGATTTTGCCTTGGGGCTGGAGATCTAGAGTAGTGGTAAGGCCACCATCTGCAGTGCTGGCATCCCATATGGGCGCTGATTTGAGACCTGGCTGCTCCACTTCCGATCCAGCTCTCTGCTAATGGCCTGGGAAAGCAGTAGAAGATGGCCCAAGTCCTTGGGCCCCTGTACCTGTGTGGGAGACCCAGAGGAAGCCCCTGGCACCTGGCTTTGGATTGGCCCAGCTCTGGCCATTGCAGCCATTTGGGGAGTAAACCATTAGATAGAAGATTTCCCTCTCTCTCTTTCCCTCTCTCTCTCTCTCTGCCTCTCTAACTCTGCCTTTCAAATAAATAAATAAATCCTAAAAAAAAAAAAAGATTTTGCCTTGATAATTAAGCCTTCAATGCATTTTGTTTAGTGTGAGATAACAGTCCAACTTAATTATTTTCCTTGTAGAAATCCAGTTGTGTCAGCACCATTTGTGGAAATGGTTATTTCCCTGATGATTGATCTTGGCACCCTTATTGAAAATCAATAAATCAGTTATAGATTTATTTCTGGATTCCTATTTTCTCTCCATGTGCAAGTACTATGCTATCTTGATTACCATTGCTTTGTAGGGATTTTTTTTTTTAAGATTTATTTTACTTTTTTTTTTTGACAGGCAGAGTGGACAGTGAGAGAGAGAGACAGAGAGAAAGGTCTTCCTTTGCCGTTGGTTCACCCTCCAATGGCCGCCACGGCCGGCGCGCTGCGGCCGGCGCACCGCGCTGATCCGATGGCAGGAGCCAGGAGCCAGGTGCTTTTCCTGGTCTCCCATGGGGTACAGGGCCCAAGCACCTGGGCCATCCTCCACTGCACTCCCTGGCCACAGCAGAGAGCTGGCTTGGAAGAGGGGCAACTGGGACAGAATCCGGTGCCCCAATCGGGACTAGAACCCGGCGTGCCGGCGCCGCTAGGCGGAGGATTAGCCTAGTGAGCTGCGGCGCCGGTCTATTTTACTTTTTTGAAAGGCAGAGTGACAGAGAGAGGGAGACAGAGAGAAAGACATCTTCCATCCACTGGTTCACTTCCCAAATGGTGGGCAATAGCCAGGGCTGGGCCAGCCTGAACAGGACCTGGAATTCCATCTGTGTGTCCTGCGTGGGTTGCAGGGGCCCAAGGACTTGGGACACCTTCTACTGCTTTCTCAGGCACATTGGGAGGTTGCTAGGTTGGACGATGAGCAGCCAGAACTTGAACCGGCGCCCTGTATGAGATGCAGACATTGCAAGAAACAGCTTGACCTGCTGTGCCACAATGCCAGCCACCTGTAGGAAATTTTGAAATTGCAAATTTTGGTCTTTGGTTTTTTCAGGATTCACTTGACTGTTCTGGGTTCCTTGTAATTCCCAACAAACCTGAGAGTCAATTTGTCCTTTCTACAAAGGAATCAACTGGAAGTTTGATTGGGATTGCTTTGAATCTGTTGATCAACTTGCAGAGTGATACTGAGTCTTCCGATCCAAGAACCTGTGATGTTTTCTCACTTATTTAGATCTGTACGTTTTTTTGACAATGTTTTATAGTTTTCAGGGTGTAATGTTTTGCATTTCTTCTTATTTTTTTTAAAGATTTATGTATTTATTTATTTGAAAGTCAGATTTACAGAGAGAGAGAGAGGAGAGAGAGAGAGAGAGAGAGAAAGAAAGAAAAAGAGAAAGAGATCTTCCTTCTGCTGATTCACTCCCCAGTTGGCCGCAACTGCATGAGTTGCACTGATCTGAACCCAGGAGCCAGGAGCTTCTTTTGGGTCTCCCACATGGGTGCAGGGGCCCAAGGACTTGGGCCATCTTCCACTACTTTCCCAGGCCACAGCAGAGAGCTGGATTGGAAGTGGAACTGCTGGAACTCCAACCGGGTGCTCATATAGTGGCCCCACCCACTATGCCACATCACCGGCCCCTGCATTTCTTTTGTTAAAACTTTATTCCTAAATACTGCTTTTAAAATTTTATTTACTTTTATTTATTTGAAAGGGAAAGAGAAATCTATCCTCTGGTTTACTCTCCTGAAGGGCGCAATACCAAGGGTAGAGCCAGGCTAAAGTCAGGAGACTATAGCTCAACCCAGGTCTCCCACGTGGTGGCAGGGACCCCCAAGCAACCACTTCAGCCAGGGTTCCTCCTCCCAGGATGCACATTAATAGGAGGCTGGAAATGGAAAGGAAGCTGGGGTTCTGATTTGGGATGCAGGCGTCCCTAGTGGTATCTTAACCCACTGCCCCAAATGCCTGTCCATTATTCTTTTTGATGCTACTACTATGAATGGAATTACTTCCTTGACTTTATTTTTAGATTTCTTATCACAAGTATATGTAAATACAAAGGATGTTATATTCTGCAATGTTGTTGAACTTGTTTACATGTTAAGATCTTGTCATCAGGCCGGCACCGCCGCTCACTAGGCTAATCCTCCGCCTGTGGCGCCGGCACCCCAGGTTCTTGTCCCAGTCGGGGCTCCGGATTCTGCCCCAGTTGCTCCTCTTCCAGTCCAGCTCTCTGCTGTGGCCTGGAAGTGTAGTGGAGGATGGCCCAAGTGCTTGGGCCCTGCACCCACGTGGGAGACCAGGAAGAAGCACCTGGCTCCTGGCTTCGGATCAGTGCGGTGTGCCAGCCGTAGCAGCCATTTGGGGGGTGAACCTGTGGAAAAGGAAGATCTTTCTCTCTCTCTCACTGTCCACTCTGCCTGTCCAAAAAAAAAAAAAAGATCTTGTCATCAGAGAAAGAGATTGTTTTATTTTTTCCTTTCTAAGCTAGATAACCTTTTATTTCTTTGCCTTGTCTAAGCCCGTGGCTAGAACCTTCAGTGGGGTGTGAAGCAGCAGTGGCAAAAGCAGATATGTCTGTCTTTCCTGATCTTAGGGGAACGTGGTCAGGATTTCATCTCGGAGGGTGGAGGAGCGTGAGCCTTGCAGGTGCCCTTTGCTGGGTGGCGGAACATCCCTTTTCCTACTCTGATGAGTGTTTAACAAGAAGGCTGTTGGGTTTTGTCAATGCATTTTCTGTGTCTAGTGAGATGATCATGTAAGCTTTCTTTTGCTGGAATTTTGCTTTGTTTTTTATTCTGTTAATATGACATATTACATAATTGGCTTTTTGAACCAACCTGGCATTCCTAACTGTGAGAATTATGAAAGTGTGAGAAGTAATCCATGCTCACTGCAAAAAGAAAAAAATCTATCTTATTAGCACTGTAGCCCAACGGATTATGAGAAAAATTCCATTTTGTCTGGTTTCTTTAGTGCTACAAAGCTTGGTCACATGCAAACCATGATTGATATTCTTTGGAGATATTTCATAATAATTAAATAAATGGAGTTTGTGTATGTTCTGCCAGGAGTTTTCAATAGAGCATATAGAAAATGGTGTATGTGGAAGGAATATTTAATTTACTACATTTAATTTGAAAGTAGAATCACAGTTTAGTGATAGGAATATTTTCACATTTTTGGATGTTGTGTATGTTCTAAAGCTTTCTCATTGCTCCTGTGCCCCCTTGATAAAGACATGACAAATCCGGTGTTTCTGGTCGCGTCTTGATTACAAGATTACTCTGCTAAACCACACAGGACAGTGTGTTTATGACAGTGTTTTCCTGTTTTTTTTTTCTTTTTTGGAGGGTGTATTTATTTATTCGAAAGGCAGAGTTACAGAGAGACAGAGGGAAAGGGACAGGGAGAGGGAGAGAGAGAGAGAGACTTCCATCTGCTGCTTCGTTCCCCAGATGGCCACAATGGTGTTTTCCTTAGCAGGGCCGACCTTACTGGTTTCCACACATCTTCAACTTCTTGATTAACACAGTTGCAAGGTAGGCAGGGAAATATTTCCCACAGTCTGCCACCATGGGACTGCCTTCAGTTTCCTACCTTGGAGGGCAGCTCCTGGAGAGAGGGCTGCTTATTGAAACAAGCCCAGCTTGCTGCCCTGGCTTTCCCTCCTGGGACATCTGATCCCTGGAGAGGGAGAAGAGGCTGGGAGATGGGCCTGAGTGGCAGGGAAGCCCGCAGTGTTCAGCGATTTCACGGGCCTGGGGAGCTAAAGCGTTACAGAGCGGGAGGGCTGCTAAGACCATCGGAACACGCAGGGCCAACCTCCCCAAGGGAGGGGAAGGTGCAGCGCTGGCTTTTCCCCTGACGTCTTTGTTGACTAAGCTGCCCTGGTCAAAAGGCTAAGAAGGGGAACAAAACGCAGCTGAATAGAACAGGGTTCTTGGCAGGCTCCTGTTGCCA